CATGCACACAGGTCGCCCATGGCTGCGGTCCAATCCTGGCCCCAAACCGCCAGATAAATATGCTCCTACATAAAATTAACTTAGCCGAATGCTAGTTTAAGCTTTGTTTACATTTCATGCATTTGCTGGCGCCTAGCGCTTGCATCGATGTAGCCCCCAGTAATAGCACATTGCATTACATTATCCATGAAAAGGTTGTAAAATTTTAATTCACTATAAGCTCAGCAAATTGCAAGGGTAAAGGGCTCATCTGGACGCAGTTTGCATGCCGTGCTGCCGGCTTGCGCAAGGAATCTCTGCGCGCGCTCCACGCCCGCGCGCGCCGCGAGCACCAGGATAAACTACAACAAAATGTCTTTTGCTTCGTGCAAAAATACGTTGGTATGTGTTGGTATGTGTGCCCGGAAAGCTGTGCCGGACGGTCGACCGTCCGGCGTACCGTCCGCCATGGACGGTTCCACCGTCCGCCAGGGGGGGTATATGAACCACGTATCCGCTGATACGTACGACAAACTACGCGCAAGTCCACCGACCTAACCAAATGTCGAGACTTCAAGACCAGTCATCGGCAAACGCCTATTACTGATTCCGGGAACATATACCGGCAAGCGCCTTTTTACTGGGAAGGGGTCAAATTCTGTCATGGTAGCCCAAAACAGCACAAATCGCCTTGACGTAGGGCTCTGCAAACAAGCGCATCTGAGAGGCCACCTTCTGCTAAAACCGTACACATGTAGCAATCCACCGTGCTGCAACCTAAAGGCCATAACGAATCGAAACAGGGAGACTCCAGGCGTGACGCCTTCAGTATCCCTGGGTTCTATGCCTGCCGTGTGCCCTTGTGTGGCCATCAATAGTCTTGCAGGCGTGGCTTTCTTAACATTACCGTATTACACAGCGCAGTACCAACTTCTCAAATGGAATCGGCTGGGAATGCTGGTCGCTGTGAGACCACCGCAAGCCCCCCTAGGTTGCAGACACCACCAAGGCACAAAAGCCACCAAGCAGCAGCAAATCCAACCAACCCACAGCAGCATCTTAACGTGCCATTACCAAATAAAACGACCTCGCAAATATACACAATCTTCAGTCTCCATAAAACGAATTACAACACCTCGCCAACAACAACTCATTCAACACAAGGCTTGCGAAACGCAGCAACAGCAAGTTGAAACTAAAAAATTGCTGACCTCCCCGTGCGACATTCCAAAATGCACTCTCCTGGGAGATCCCACGTCGTCGCAGAACAACCGTACACAAACCGACATGAAACCGAACGTCGGGATAAGAGCCTTGACGGCGCCCTCGCCATAGAAACACCCTTTCAGATGAGCTATAAACTGAGTGGACTGGCAAATTCGTGTGCTTTAAACATAACCAATCCAAAAGCAAGCTCCTAACCACAGGCCCAACACCTGCCGCCGCGGTTGCCGTCAGTGCATTGTGCTTCATCCTCGCTCCGCAGCTGTAGTATATCCAAAGCATCCACCGCCTCGGGCGCCGAGGTCGCCTGAAGGAACTCTCGACGCCATCACCCACAACCAATCTGATGATAACCAACTCCAAACACCAACCAAAGCCAGCAAAGATGCTGAGAAACCGTAACACGCAACGAAGCACGAGAGCTACACATGAAAACATTTTAAACGATCCAAGGACTACGACGTAGCTTGGCAGAAGGGCCAAGGTACAACTTTCGAGCCCGCCGCCCCACGCGATAGTACACGGTGAGCCATGAAACGAGATGAAAAACCAATGTAAAGAGGTGGTGCTGAACCCATTTTCCATCATACGCAAGATAGGGCTCGCACGGGCTCGCAACCAGGTAGTTTGTACGGATCACGGGGCACGGCAACTTCACGCTTACATGGCGCCCAAAGACCTGCCCATCCAAGCTACGTAGTAAGCTATCTAACTAACGGCCAAAACACATCTTGCTAAAAGGCTACCCCTGCCACGCCGCACAACTCACCACAGGCTGTTGCGCTCCAGCTACCCCTTTGACAACCCTGCCAACTGGACCACGAGCAAACCTACCTAAGAAAGAGCATACATCGCAGTGTTGCAAGCTGGCCACAAGTTATGCCGCTGCGCAGCAGCAAACCACACAATTTTCCGGGATGCATAAAAAACGAGACATTCATGGCATAGGCAGCCTGGCCTAGAAGCAGTTGGCTGTGGGCAGCACGAACGAGATCAACCACCATAACGACACGTGCCCTGCTCGGAATGTTTCGCAGGAACCAGCGCACGTGTTGCCCAGATGCACACCAGGTCCACGCAAGGATTTATGTTCTGACGGAAACATTGCATTAAGGCCCGCATGTGAAATACACGCTCGCTGCTAAAGCTTAGACCTAAGGACCACAAAGCGTTTCAAGCCGCGTGCACAGACAACGAAAATCCAGCCGCACGTTCCACGCATGAAGCGGTGCTGACCTACGACGCACGCCTTTGCTGCCAAATCATTCACACAAATATTCATCCTGCAGCTGCGTCACCATCGCCATCCAAGCCCATAAACAATAGCCCTAAAACTGAAAAGAGAAAGCGGAAAGAAGAACGCGGCCTGTTGTCTCATTCCTTCGATAAGCAACTGGGGGCGTACATCTAAAGTGCATATCGCCAGTATGCCTGCATTAAACTCTGCACAGGAGACTTCGCTCTTACTAACCCTGGTAACCTTATTGCAAGGCACGATGCAACCTGCCCTGCGCTCCACGTATGGCAAAACAATCAACTTAACAAGCACGGATATGCAGGCGATACAGTGCCAGGACGCCTCAGCAAAGCCGCACACACTCCACATGCGAAATACATGCGTGCGACTCAAACTGACCCATCAGTAACCATATGACCACAACGACCCCTCCGTGAGCGCCGTCCGAAAGACAAGGCTGCAAGGAAGTGCATGCACTGGAACGAGTTCCCAACACTAGTCCAGGAAGAGGTGCCTTAATCTGCCACGGCAGGGCAATATCCTTCAATTTCCACCGGGAAACTCGACAAGATCAGCATGGATGCCCAGACCTGCAGCTGCCTTCATGTGCGTACGCCGCGGCCCACGCCTCACTCGTCTATGCGCTTAAAGACTTGGGGGTAGCGGGTCGCGACAGGCTCCAGCAAGCCCAAGTCCGGAATACATCCCCAGGTGTGCCGTCCGACGACGTGGCTGTGCAAATGGTTCATCAGCTCCATGCACCGATCCAGACCGGGAGCAAGGCACGAGACGTCCACATCCACAAATGCCGCCAAATCCGAAACAATCTTAATCACCGGCACCGCCGGCATACGCGTGGACAGTTCGGCTCCGGATGCACTCTGACTGTACCAAGCGGCCAGCGTAAGGGCTGCGACCGCGACAGTGCTGTACCCGAAATTCAAAAACTCGTTGTAGAGTAACGAAACCTCCTGAGAGCGGCACAGCATCAGGCACAACGCACCATTCATTACGACAGTCGGCCGACTCTGTGACCAAGAGGTAAATGCGAGCCACTGGAGCGATGACAAACGGACAACACTTTTTCGAAACCCCGCGCCACCCTAACACAACGTGAAAAGGTATAAGGTCCTCGCAAGATTCCACCAAGGCACGCGCAGCTCTCACCGCCATGAACTCAGCATGCTCCTTAAACAGCTGCGCTGACTCTGGATCCCCAGGAATTAGCCCACGGTTCATTAGCACGGCCTGGTACTGCCGCATGAAGGTGAGCGTGTTCGGGACGCGGATGCGCCACTCCACCGTCTCCAGCAGCAGCCATTCCATGCGATTCAAGTCCAGGCGCTGCAAAGCAAAGCAGCTGTGTTGGCCATTGTGCGCTTCCTGGATACATCATGCAGCTTCGCATAAGCCCCCATTTGGTCAGGAACGGCTCACAGGAAGCTTCTGCACCCGTGGCTCAAGGACAAAGCATGTTCTGCTGTGAACTGGCATAGGTACGCGGAAGTCACAATCCCACCAAGAACCAAACCGAAGCCAGCCTATACCGATCCCCCCGGCTGCTACCACGTACCTCGTAGATGCTGCGGCTGTCAGCATCTACGGCGAGGCGGACCCACTCATCGGAGCTGCGCTGGGCAACCTGCAGTGCTTGAAACATGCTCAGGACCAGCCGGCGCAGCAAATAATAGTAACAAGGAGCCCGACTAGCTCACCTCCTCGTGCTTTGCAGCAGTGCTCAGGCAACCGAGAGCCAGCAGCTGCAACACAGCCTCCGGAGGATGAGCCTGCAATGAGGGCCCCGAGCAACCATCCGTTGTGTATTTTCGAATGCGGTGTTACGCAGGATCTTGCCGCAGCTCCCCAAACCCGCATACCTCGGTAGCTGTTATGTAGCGGTCCACAAGTGAGACTGCTGAGTGAAGCGTCTCCTTCGTCAGTTCTAAAGCCGTTACCACCTGGACAAGCCAGCTCACAATGCGCGGTCTGTCGTCTTCCGAAAAGCGCCTTGCTTCAGGCAACGTAGGTTCAAAGCGAACCTCCTGAAGCCTCGTCAGCTCGTTCCTGTGTGAGCATTGGCGCCAGAAAAGCAAGGGGTTACAGCCGTTTACCGCGTTTAGCACGTATGGTGACGCCAACACATGGTACAGTGCGCTCTGTCCAGGTTCTGCTGCTGTGCACCAAAGCAACATCCAAGCTGCTGGGCTGTCGAGCACTGTAAACAGACAAGCATGTGCTATAACGCAACAAAATAATGGTTTAATAACCTTCTTTTTGAAAGGGCATCCTTCTGGTGGGAAATGTGCCTTGAGCGTCGAGGCCGCTTAGCGCCGACCCATGCCGCCCTCTTTTGAGGATGTAAACTTCCCGAGCAGGCAGCACAGCAATAGTGGCATGCATTAAAAGCATGAATCCTTTGCTTGCCGTTGAAGTAAGTGACTTGCGAGGCCCGGGTTCAGGCGGTGGCAAGTTTAGGGGTAGGATATACCGGGTAGAGAATACTCACCGGATAACATCACGTGCATCTGCAGCATCGAAGAAGTCGATAGAGCGAGTCGTAGCAGCGACCAACGCCGTGCCCGGTGGGTCTCGGTGAACAGGCTCGTGGCAGGGCTCAAGACAGGAACCATCTTCCTCGCATATCAAGGTATTATCTTTACAATGACTACCGCTGATCGCATGAAATTGCTGAGATTGGCGCACATTAAAAAGCTCCTTAAGACAACGATCGGAACAGAACGTTATCGGTGTCAGCTTTGCCAACAATGCGGCAACCATAACGATAAGAAACATCACAAAATAGCGACCAACATGCGCGGGAATCTGAACTTACTCCTCCACTTGCACGAAAGCCACAAGGCACATCGCTCGAAGTCGGGCTTGAAGGCCTCTCCTCATTCCGCACGGCTGCTGCCATCGCTTCCTTTATTGAAATTAATGACAAAGCGGCGACGCTGCAACCATAACTATGCTGCGACCTAAAATCGAAGTAATGAATGCCCTACGTACCTACTCCTAAATGATATGCTAGATTCCTAAAATAAGGTGCAGTTGTTCAGGAGCTGAACAAGATTTCTGGTGAATCGTACGCAAGTGACCTGCCTCGTACCGACCTGCCTCGTACTGCTTCACAATTCTCCCGCCCCGCGCCACACCTATGGGCCGACACAATGTAATGTTTTGGTGCTCCTCTGCCTAAGGCGTCGATCAAACTTGCCTGAACCTGTGGGCCATATGGGCACGCTAAATAGTGCCCTTCGCTGTCTCTTTGAACACGCTCTTGGCGAACTTCCTAGTTATGACGAGGACGAGCCCTGGAAAGATGCGTGCAAGAAGGTGGGCTACAGTGCCAATTTAAAAGCAAAGGTTCCAAGCTCAAAACACGACACTCCTTCCTTGCCAGGCTTTTACCGCTGTGACGAAGTCCTCAGGAAGCATGTCATGGGCTGACCTATATGCTTACTTCTCCAAAGAAGTGGAAGGTGCGTTCTGCGCCCGGGACCCAGTACAGCACAACACGCATCCAGGTTCCACCGAGCAAGCATCCTTTAGAGATCTCAAAACTCTTGCAGTTTACAGAGGCCCTTGCTGGCCATGCCTCGGCGTCCGGTTTACGGTGCTGCGGACGGCAACGCTGCTGACTGGGGCCCTGCTTGCATGTGGCCCCCTTGCGGGCACCGCGGCCGGCTGAAAACCAAAGGACTGGCAATGTGTCACGCCCCTACTGCAGCAGTCTGGGCGTCAGCCCTGATTGCCAACAGAGCGGTTTGGGACAGCAGCAGCCATACGGCACAAGCCCGCAGGCTTAGAGCGGTTCCCTGGGCCGGGTCTTGCATCGCCATAGGGCCCAAGGCGCTGGACAAAGCGGTGTTCACAAGGGCCGGGGGGATGAGGTGCAACTGTCTCCAGGTTGTCCTGCATGAGGAACAAAACTCTCCGGCTTGCGGACGGGAAGTGTAAGGAGGAAGAGTTGGACCCGGACGCGGCCCCAAAGTGAACGTCCTGGACAGCGAATGGTGAATCCATCGGCTGACGAGAGCGAAGGGAGTTGGAGGTGGAAGGGGGCCCCATAGGGGGCATGGGCAGGGTGGCCCGCTGGGCGAGGTCGACTTATGCAGGTCCATTTGCTGCATTCCTTTGAATTGGAGACATATGCACTTCGTTGCCATGCGCATCCTTCAGCCTTCTCTCAAGCGTGGTACAGTTGTAGCCTAACATCTGATGTTGCTGTATTTGTGCCTTGACAGGCGGCGTGAGCGCCAAGTCGGTGGATGCCCTGTTCAAGTCGCTGGACCGTTCGTCGCGCGGGTCGGTCACGTTACAGGAGTTCACCGAGGTATGTGGATTAACTTGACATTTTATTGAAATCTCATGCGGCTTCGTCTAATCTGTTGTGGTCTGGGTCAGGCGGGTAGGAATGCGACTAGAGCTGTGATGAGGGTACAGAGGCTCCGGGCTTCTTATGTAGGCCGTCTGGATCTGACGCGCTGCGTAATTGTAAGTATAAGGGTTAACACTTAGGACGGGTGGATTCGATTGCGCTGACGGGAGGGATTTGGGAAAGACCGAACTGCGAGACATCTACCCGGGAAGGTCGGGTCGGGGTCGGCGGAGACAATGCCGCCTCCGGAGTCAAGCCGCGGCATGGGCACGGACGCTAGCATTGCTCACCAGAGTCTGCACGTCGCGTACTTCCGTCCGTCACTCTGGCGGCATTTGCTCAATGTCTTTGGTGGGGTTGCTTTGCTAGCCACTGCAATTATTTCCGTTACCCAACCCAACCCCTTCTGTGCAGGACTTCTCTTTCATGTTTCACACTTGCCGTCAGCCGCAACCTCACCTCCCCCCTTGCGGCTTCGGATCCTTTGGCCGGCGTTCGAGTCTTTGCCCTTTGCATTATATGTGATTTCCTCCCGCTTGCTTATTCCTCTCCTGCTCGCTCGGGTGATTTTCAGGTGGTCACACAACGCTTGAGGTGAGCACAGGTGCTCAGCTGGGGACCTGAGGGGCTTGAAAACCTGGTGGCTGCAGCGACGGCTGATTCGGGTGCATTTGGCCGGAGCGTATGGTGTCCCTGCGTTCCCTCCCGCCCGCTCAATAGTAGATGTGGATCCCTCACGCCAACCGACCACCTAAAGCGAGGGACGCCTATGGTCATCCTTTGCCACATTCCTCGTCTCCATGGGCCGATACACTGGTGCATGGGCGAGTGTGCGGTTGTATGGCTGACGTTTTGCCAGCCTAACCTTCCCGACCCCCTTGGGGCCTTGCCTGAGGCGGATGCGATCACCAACCACCATCACCTGCTTCTAACATTACATTCTGTTGTATGATTGACTTCCTTCTGAGTAATTGTAACGTTTGAACCCCTGCCAAGCCTTCATTGTCTATATGAAATATTCATGCTGATCATCCCCGTGGGGCTGGCACACATTCGCAGCTCCCTGCGCGCTGAGAAGGAGCTGGAGATGCGACTTGCGGAGCGTGTGCCCCGCATCCACGTGGTTCCCGGTTCGAACCGCCTTAACTGCGTTGCTAAGACCGAGGTGTTCAGAGTGCAGGTAGTCACGTGAGTCCTCTGCGCACAGGGTACGGGCACGTCGCAATCGGAACAGAGAAACGAAGAGATGGCTGCAAGGCGAGCGAAAGGGAGAGGTGGAGATTACGACCGGAATACGTGGATGGGACTGGGCAGCGGCAGCCCCGGAAGCAGTGCGCCCAGGAGCAAAATCTTTGCAGAAGTCTTAAGGCGCATGTGGTCAGGACGGCAGCAGCTCCAGCGTCCTTGTGTGACGGATTCGGTTGTCTAATACGTGGATGAGACTGGGCAGCGGCCCCCTACCTGACACATCAAGCACACACGCCTTGACTGCCTATTCCTGCCTCTGCGTTGCTCTTAATCCCGCCAGCCGACCCATGGTCCGTGAGCTGGGCCAGGTGTGGGCTGAGATGGACGCCGACCGTGACGGCCGTGTCAGCATCGCAGACCTCCGCCGCTACTTCACGCGCACTCAACCGGGGTTGCTGCCCTTCCTGACATCCATCTTCCGGGCGATCGAGGGCAAGGGCCGGACGGGCATGGTCACTTTCCAGCACCTCCTGAAGGTCAGAAACCTCCATCGGTCCGGTTTTTAGATTGGGCCCTTCATCGCTGCCCTTCCTCGATTAAAGGCTGGGCAGGCAGCCGGATGAAGACGGCTCAGTGCCAGGCTGCTTAAAGGACGGGGGAACGGGAATAGGAAAGCACCAGACGCAGAGCAGGGCTGCGCAGTGTATCAAATTTTCCCTTGAATGGGGCACCGGCACGGTGCCTTCTTCAAGCGGGCCCGCGAGGGGCAGGTTAAAAGTGGTGGCGGCCCTTCAAGTAGATGACCGGCTAGTTGGGGGGTTGTCCAGGGCACATGTGTACGGACCCGGGCTGGTGGTGTTGTGTCTTTCGTGCCCAAGAGTGCCACGACGCTTAGGTTGACGGCCTGACCACTCCCCGTTGCATGGATTGTTCACCCTTTGCCTCCGCTGCCAACTTCACGCTTTCGCCATGCTCCCTGTGTTATCGCACCTTTCTTCCCACGGCGGCAATTTACTTCTTTACCTTTTCGGGTTCGCACTGGGTTTTCTCCCGCCCTTGGTCGCAATGCCGCCGGGTCCCGTCCACATTTTCGCCGCGATTCCAGGAGTTCGTCCTTCGACGTGCCCCTTCACCGTCACGCCTTGCCACCAATAACTACAGGCACTGTACCCGGAGGCCTCTCCCGCCGACCTGCGCACATTGCAGGCCATGTCCACCAGCCGCAAGTCCCGTCTCGCGGCGGCGGCGGCCGAGGCGGCGGCCAATGACAAGCTACTGGCGGAGATCCAGGTGAGCGTGGCGGAGATCCAGATAAAGGATTTGTAGCAATGCAGCACACCCTTTAGGTTTGCGGATCTGCCGCAGTGTGCACAGTCCAGTGATAAGGCCACCGGAGCCTTTCCGCTTTCCACCAATTGCTTGTCCTTGGGGTCGGGGCGCGCCGTCCTTGTTGCGCTCATGTAAATGCGTGAAACATGGAAGGGCAATTCGGGTCTGGCCCGTGTTCAGTGCTGTCCTTTATTGCTGATGCTGGGGCGGAAGTCCGGCAGCCGGGCTCGCCAGGGCAAGGGTCACTTACCTTGCATGTTTCATAGATTTTCGTGTGTTGTCACGTTGTTCCCCACCGCCGTCCTGCCATCCTGTTCTTGCAGGGCGTCTTCTCGGTGTTTGATGATGACCAGCGTGGAGAGCTTGACGAGGAAGAGTTCGTGAGCGCCATGGAGCTCACAGGTGCATGGTTGTGTGGGAGCTAAATGGGATCCCTTTTTGCACAGCCGGGAAATCCAGGAAACACAACCTGACGGCGAGCGGCCAGGGCGGATGGGTTTGGGTGTCCTCTCAGCCGCATTCTGGTGTGGGTTCCGCTGTGTTGGGTCCACGGTTTCGGTAGCAGCTGTGCCTAAGGACTTCACGTGCCCGGCCTGGCCTGGCCACGTAGCAATTGAGCTATCGGTGCCCCGACGAGTCCCCCGGCCGACATGCGTTCGACCCGGCTCAGGGCTCGGCGTTAAAAGGCAACGGTCGCTAGGGGAGGTCGAGGCCGCTTGCTTGGGCGGGAGTCCGGGTCGCGGTTTTAGGACAAGCCGAGTGCAGAATTCGTTAGGAGGTTGAAGTTTGCCGAGATCTGCTACCGGGACCAAAGGATAATTTGCTTTGGGAGTCCGTTTGTCCGTCCAACCCCACGTTTTGATGTCATTTGGGGACCCACCACCGCCACTTTCACCCGTGTAGGTCACACCAAGGAGGAAGCTAAAGGTAAGAAGCGGCGGTTGCGCTCCGCGACTTTGAAAGCCCAAAGCGTTGCCTGTCTGCACTGATCTCCCGGACGGCTTGCTGTGTCGCAGTAGTTCAAAGACCCTCGTCACTTTTGACATCGCGCATGTAACCACACCCTCTGCAGCAAACCAGGAGCGGGAATCCAGAGCATATGTAACTAGAGGGAGCTTCCCCACGCTGCTGGGGAAGCTGCGGGCAGAAAGGAGTGATGAGGCCCGGTTAAAGTGCTCTAAAACTGTACGCCGCGCGGCGATGGATAACCTAGAGAGTTGCCAGGATGAGAACTTGTTAAATGTACAGCCGAGAAAGCGAAAGCACCCTGCGAAATGCAGCAGCATCCATGGCTCCGGTGATGCTGCTGTATTTATGGCGTCACTGATGAAAGCAGCTGCTGTTTCCTGCTGTTTACTGTCACTGCTGTCGCACGGTGTTCCACGCATGCCAAACTGCGGATACACAAGAGCATTCGACGTTTCTCTTTTGCCTATTTTCTGTGCATACGTGCATTTACGTACGTTGTGCAGGGATGTTTAAGGCGATAGATGCCGAGGGCAGCGGCGTGGTGCGTTGGGCCGCTTTCCGCAAGTGGTACACTAGCAGCTATTCAAGGTTCATGGAGGAGGCCCAGCGCAAAATGCTGGAAGAGGGTGCGGAGTAGGAAAGCCTGGCAGGCAGCTAAGTTAGGGGGCACATGCACGCACTCTCAGGCAGGCACTGGTCAGGTGGTCGTCGCCAGAGGCTGCTCTACCGGCAACCCACTCCTTATTAGACTGGCAGCGGACAGCTGGTTGCAGAGAGATGCTGCCCCTGCCATTAAGGGGTCGTTAAGGTAGTCGGAGCTGTCAAGATATGGGAGGAAGAGGAGTGAAGGGGTCTGCCAGTGGAGAGGGGATAGGCTGGGGCAGAGGCAGGGTTTGTACCTTGACGTGTATGGCTATGTTTTGACATATGCACGTGCATATGAATCCTAGTGAAGCAACCTCACAAGGAGGCCTTAAAAGTGGGCGACGAGAGAAGCCGCAAAACGCGCATGCCCAGCACATGAATATGCGCTCGCGTTCTTTCTTTTGGTGCTGTCGCACAACCCACACGCAGCGTGCCCGTTACATTCTTGGACGTCTCGCAACGCCGTGAAGGGCTTGTCAAAAAATCGTATATAGTTGCGTTGTGTTCCAAGCAGGGCTTGGTCGAGGACAGGAGTGTGGGTGTGGTTCCGTCAGGGGCGTGCAAAGGGGGAAACAAAGAGGTGGGAATGGGGTGGCTTCGCTTTCGAGACGTAAGCAAGCAGCTGCATTATCGGCCTGCCTCTTGGGGATAGGTCAGGGGTGGGGTTTTCTCGCATGGACCCGTAGCGGCACATTTTCCATTTATCCATGCATGCGAAGCTGCTTGTTTCGGGAGGACTTGGGTGGTCTCACAGGTCATGCGTGGAGAGGAACAGGAAACTAGGACAATCTTAGGACAAGCGTTTGGTCAGCACGTGTGCGCGTTCCTTCATTTACACTGTTCTCATTTGTTGCTGCTCTGCTGCTTTTTTGGTATTAGGAAATGATATCGGCAGGCGAGGGGGGCCAGGAAGGACGCATCAGATGCACATAGGCAAGGGTTGGGGTCTTGGCACAGGTCCTGGCTTACAGAATCAAGAGCACGCATCCAGAACCCTGGGTGCCAATGGGCGGCTGCAGTTTAGTATGGATGAGTGTATCGTGCTACGGTGAATCCTCAAGGATTGATGTCGCATATCGCAAAACACACCGTAGAGGCCATGGTACGGGTAGAAGTTGTGCGTAGCGAGTGTAGTCAAAGTTATGTTAAGTGTTGTTTCTCATGGCGACATAATTGCTACTGTGCCGTTACGTTTGAAAGCGCAATGCGTCCCTGGCCCGACGTTGCTGGCGTTGGCTTAGGACATCCTGCAGTAACATACCATTTCATGGTTTGGGCTCATGAAAGGTTTTGGGGTCTTTATGTTGCGATCTGCGGCAACGCAACCCGAGTCTGGCGGCGCAAACGTCTCAGGAAAGGTTGAATAAAGCAGTTTTATCTGCGAAGATGCCCCGATCGAGTGGTAACCGGGCGGCCCATGCATGGCTATCGCGCCTTCATCTGAATTGCCACTGCGGTGGGCTCCGGGCGATGCAGACCTCCGGCAGAGCCTTTCATCTTCTCGCTGGTGTAGGCAAGTGGGAAATGCTTACTCAAGTAGATGTACATTATAGGTTGGGAGGAGATTGGTGACCGGGCGTTTCGTGCTTGCGTTGATGCATTAACGTCAGAAACACGAACGGCAGGATACCCTTGTGTTTGAAAAGAGTCAGGGTAAGCAAATTAATGAATTGTGTTGCGGTGGACCGTCGCTACCTGTCGTGGCGGCTGTCTGTAACTTGTCAGTAACTTGTCAGTAATTGCAGTAGCACCGCTTCTCAATGTGCTCCCGACTGTAAAGCTCACGATTTAACGCAGATCATCACCCACTACTTACTCGCCGGCAGCCTCACAGAAGTGGACCAATTTTCGCGTGTGTTCCCGCAAGCATGCAATCGCGCAGGCACATTTAATGTGTGCCCAATCGCTGATGTTTGCCCCAGCGTAATATCATCCGTCAAAGTGGTTCGGGATAGGAGGGCCGGAGTTCGGGACATAAGCCCGCTCTGAGGGCCGCAGGAAAGGGAGGCGATGCACATGACTGGGTGGAACGTAGGACGCTTTTGTCTCCCGGCCACTCTTTGCTAAGGCCCCAAAGCAGCTCGCCGTTTCGCCGTGCCCCATTTGTCATCGCATCTTCCAGGGACCAGCCTGTGTTAGCCAGTGATGACATAGCGCACTGATTTAGGGAAGGACCGAACCCATGGAGCAGGCTGCGTGCGTCTCTAGCCCCACACCCATGCAAGCATATGAACTGCGAGTTTGATGACACATCCTCCACATGGCATGCGCTAGTCTAGGCGTTTTGTGTTGGGGGAAACAGATATGTCGCCATAAGACCCTAGGAAGTTTAGTGCCCTTGAGGTTCCTGCGGTTCCATAAAGCTCAAAGAGATGCTGCAAATTCCAGCTGCAGGATGGGTCCGCAAGGCTGGCCGGCTTGCAATTTTTGGCATAAACACAACGGACTTAGCATGCTCCTTCCCAGCTATCTGGCTACTTCTTGCCGGTTCGCGCTGCGCGTGCATCTGGCGACACTTTGGGCTTCAAGGGACTCGTGAAACTTTAACTTTAACTGTTATCGAAAGCTTTGGCAATACATGGTGCTTGAACTTGAGACGTCTTTGCTGGTTTCTATGTTGCCGGACTCGCAACCTGAACTGCTAAAGTACCGTGAACCCAAAGAGAAAGCCTAGCAAAAATATAAAAATGTTGCCTTCACATTGCTATAAGCTTGGGGTCATCATGCAGTTCAGGCAAATTTGGATTCTGGATCTACAGCCAATTTTAGCAGCTCGCAAAAGCTCATGATCGTCCGTGATCATTTAGCATTTTCTTTGCTCACATTACAAAGAATCATACATTACATGACTTAAGCTGCAGCCCTGCAAATTTTACTCTACTCGTATTGTCCTCACCATTCAAGTTTTGACAAGGACGGCGCTTACGGTACCACTTTACTCTGCTTGTGATATAGAACACGATGGCATTTGCCTGCTGGTCCTGACGCAGGAGAAGTAAACAATTGGACTCGGTCAACTCCAGCTGCGCGAGATAATTTAGGTCCTGAACATGGACACAAAAGAGTTAGCGGACGTAGCCACGGGCGACCATGTGCTAGTTCCAGATTACCCTCCTGAAGACGTTGAAGATGCTCCCGCCAACGCGATGCATCCGCTCGTGGTTGCCATGCGACAGCTTGAAATACTTCAGAACCAAGTTTTCCTGGCCGGCTCAGCAAGCAATATCCAGGTACAAAGATGGAAAGCTTATCGCTCTTCTTTGGCTAATGCTTTGCTGCCTGGCTGCACGACCCAGTCTAATTGGCGACCACGTCAAACCGTCGCCCAGGTGCAAAGCACGGACAACAGCGCACTTGCAGGAGAAGATACGGCGCCACATTGTCGCCTTGCTTGCGATGTTTTATCGTGCACTGTTAGCGCTTGCGAACTATGGCGCGAATCGCTGCTGCGGCACCCCGCGCCTATGAACGCGAACTGCCCTGAAATCTCCACTTCCGAGCTTTACAGGTACGAATGCGTTGGCTTATGTTGCATGACTGTTGCACCTCGCGACGGAGACTCCTTAGCTGTGTGTCGAGCGGCCGCCACCTGTCACTTATTAAGGCCAACGGCATCCGCGCATGTATCCGCTGTATTAGACTGCGGTACGGCCTGGAGAAAATGCCACCCTCCTGCTTTTTGAAATCTTGTAGGCTACTTGCAAAGCTTCTTGCTTCGATGCACATCCTGGACTGCCTCAAAGATTCAAAGCAAGCCCTACGTCTTGCACTGTCAGCCGTCTCAGCGCAGGAGGGGGATGAGCAGCAGCTGCTGACAGCTGTCCAGGTGAGTGTTCTGCAAGGCCGTCCTCCAGGTTTCGTAGCTTCTACATAGCTATGTAGCTACTATATTCGCACCCTTCGCATGGTTTCTGCCATATGCAGGACTTTTTCAACATGCCCAGTGCATGTCTGGTCTTATTACGCGACATGCTCCTCGAGCAGCCTGAAGCACTCGCACAGACCAAGGTCGCCCTGTCCAAGCTGCTCGAGATCCAGCTACTTGCGGTTGACGGTGCCGGCTGCCAGGAGGGCGAGCGCAAGTGGGGTTCTTTCAAGTCCAAGCTTGGTTTGTCAACCAGTGGCCTGCATTTGGGTGGAGACTCAAGCAGTGGAGCCGCCGACGTCGACATCTCCGCTCGGTGCAGTGCGCGCATTGCGCTGTCGCTCCTCGTGCACTTGTACTGTTGCGTGGATAGTGTCGAGCAGGTATGCTTTGGAATAGTGTCCCTAAGTACGAGGTAGATGAGTGCGCTGCGATTGGCTGCATTGCCGTCGTTAGCGCGGCAACCTGTCCGCACATTACAGTCAGCAACAAAGAAGTATTTCGTTATAACTGCACATGACAACAGCCCTCCAAACCATGGCGAAACCTTGGTATGCATGTACTCGCAGGAGCTCCATGCAAACCATACAACGATTGTGGATGGCACGGGCGCCACCCCAAAGGCACAGGCGTTGGCCATGCAGCGGCTTCGAGCTTGTGTGGCAACCTTGAGGACCACGCCCATTGTGCCGGGCTACGGTGACGTCTCAATTGACCTGCTGAAGCCTTTACGGGGTCTTTCACAGCTGGGGTCCCCATGGGAGTCACCAGCAGCCGTTGAGGCACCTGCGTTGGAGGAGAGGTCAGCTATGCACTGCTTTCCTTGTATGTGCTCTGTGGCCTATCTTGCACCAAATCAAATAACCTCTTTGTTTGCGTTTGCTATTCTTATAGGTATTGCTTGGCAGCTGTGGCCGCGGCAGCCGCAAATGATTACGGTCGGATGGTCGAGGAGCTCCTCGCTTTGAAGCTGCAATACGAATCAGACAAGCAGCGCCTTGCCGAAGATGGGCGAAACAGCAGCGCCGGCGGTAGCTCAGGTGCTACCGACGCGCGCACCTCAGCAACCGATGTCGCCCTATCCTGCCGTCCGGGTGTTTCCCAGGCTGCGCTGAGCAGGGCAGTGGGCATCCTGGCCGGTCGTGCCATGCAGCTCATGAGGGATTGGCAAGCGGCCATCCTGCAGCTCGATGCGTTCCGGACGTGGCAGCGTCGGGAACGGCTCGAGGAGGGCGTCGCTGCTGAGGCTGCTCCCGCTGAACAACCCCAAGCCAAGGCCAATCTGCCAAGGTAGATGCCGCCTTGGCGCGAGTGTAGCACGTGTAAGAGGGTATATGGTTGCTATAGTCGCTAAGCCCACCAATCACTGTAACCCATATGCTCAAAGGCAGTGCCATGTCATCATCTTAGCAACCCTCGCGCTCTTCTCATGCAGGTGTACATTTGCGCCTGCTGATATGCCGGACGTCGTCCGGATGGTCTCTTACATTAAGGGACTGCATGGCGTCCTGACAGAAAACATGACCTGGATGGAGCCCCTACTGCGCGTCCATTGTGCTGCGCATCTTGCCCAGCTGCTCAACTCCATCGTGCTGCCAGTAGCTAGCGGCGTGCTTGGCATGCCTCAGCCAGCCCCCATCCCAACAGTGGTGGCGGCAGCAGTAAACAACCCGCAGCCGAGATCAACCCAACTGCTGCCACTGGCTAAGGTGTCTTGCGAAGGTGAGTGCAGGACCGGTTCGTCTGGTACTGTTGGGTCTACACCCCTCAGTTAGGCCGGAGGAGGTTTCACTGACAATCTGCGTACAACCCATTAGTTTGTTGTCGATCCTTTGCGCCTGTTCTTGTCCTTAGGCTTGGCTTGTACTACTGCGCTGTGCTTCCCTGCAGCGCATCCATTGTCGGCACCCTCATCAGCGCGGGGAACCGGGACATGTAGTGTGCTGGCAGCATCCACAGTCCCAGTATCCGCAGCAGTCAGCGGGGCGGCCGGTGATGTCGGTGACGCTGGTACTGGCACCGCCGCTGGTGTCGCGGCGAATATCGGCCGCATGTGGAAAAACAAGGCTCTGCGTCATGGCCGTACCAGGTCCACCGTGTCTTCCCTTGAGGCCATGACCACTGGTGGTCCTCAGGGCTCTGGTCCTATGCCCCCAGCTGCTGGGCAGATGGACGGCCTAAACTTGGGACCTTCACAGCGCACCACAGAGGATTCTGCCGACACAGGAAACCTTATTGCGAGCATTACAGCTGATGGCATGGACTGGGCTGTAGCCCGTCCTGCTGAGTTCAGGAATGATCCGTACGCGCGCCTGAGAGAATGGTTTGCAGCAGGTGGAGTTAACCCCAACGGCGGGGCGACAATGACTTCCCTAAACGCCCCTCTACAGTCCGTTCCAGAAGGGCAAACGCCAAGCTCTGAGTTGCACTCGCCGGCTCCAGCAGGTGCAGCTGAGACACAAAGCCGTTGTGCTGTTGTACAGGAGTCAACAGAAGTCGGTATGATGGGGGCGACCAACACCCCCTCAGCACACCGTGGCTCGGGAGAGCAGCAGTGGCCAGGAAGTAGTTGTGCACGCATGGCGGCCACGACAGGCACAGACGGGACTGAGGACGGCGTGGAATGCACTGTCAGCAGTGTCAGTGACTGCGAGGGCCTGATGGCGGGGCTTGACAGCGAGGAAGCATGTGACTCTGGTACAGCTATGGTCGATGGTGTGGTTGCTAAGGAAACAGACAAGGTGCAGACCCACCAACAATCCGAGCAGCAGCCTTGGCCTGCCGCAGACCTACTCTGGCCAGCACCGCCGGTTCCGTCCGCCTCGTGGCTTGCAGGTAATACCGTTAGCCCACCAAACGCGAACAACATCGCTGTCAGCGCTGGCGGGGCGAGTAGCAGTGCAGGGGTGGGGAAGTCTCCTGTGGCTGGAGGAGCCCGTGTCACTGCACCGGCGGCGCTCAGCACTAACCCGCTCTATATCTACCCAAGTGCCGCGCGTGAGGCAGTGGCTGAGCAGGAGCGGGCGACTGTGGCCATCTGGATCGCAAGCGAGGGGGGTGCTTCGGCGCCGCCTGCACTTGCAACGCTTGAACAGCGCGCAATGGTCACGCGCATCACCGCTGAGGGCACAATCACCGAAGAGGCAACCACTCCGAAGCTCGAACAGCAGCGCCAACAGGAGTTGCATGACTTTGGTGACGTCCGGATTAGCTACTGTGATGACCTGGGGGCTACCCCGCAAATTGACTCGGGTGTTCGGCAGCACTCATGCTACGAAGGCTCCACAGCCCGCTTGGGCTCAAGACCGCAGGACGGCACTATCAACGGCTACAGCGATGATCTGAATTTGTCCCAAGGTCAACTGGACATGCCGCCGCACGACTTCAGTGACATTGGTGCAAGCTATGACGGCATGACGACTGCACAGATGCACCTCGACACGGCCGCTGTAGCTGGACACTCCCACGGTGCCAAGAAGACTGCGTCGTCGCCCTTCAAACGCATCAAGAAGCTGTTTAGCAAGCGCTTTTCTGCCACCGGCGAAAAGACTACTTCGGCACCTGCCGGTCCGACAGCGTCTGTACACTATGACGAGACCGTCATCGCTCCTGGTGCTTCGGACCCTGCTCTGGAGGCCTACTACAGTGGCGCTGACTACTCCACCGCTGTGGCTGGCTTCAGCGCGCTGCCTGCTCCTTACCTAGCGGAGTCGCGCGAGATTGCGAGTCTTGACATAGATTCAAGTGCGTTGCTGGGCGTGCAGGGAGCTAATTATGGGGCACATGGCATCGGCTTGACCGGCCACCATCCCCCAACCTTGTCGGGCGAATTCCTTCCAGGCGTCATGGAGGAGGCAGCTGCTCGGGACGGCGCCGTGGCGGTCCTCAGCGTTGGGCCCTCCGGGCAGGTGCTGGGTGCACAAACTGAACAGCAGGCCAGCGGCGACACGGCTGACACGAATGCTGCCGGTGGACGCGCCGGTGGCAAAACGCGACCATCCGCAGGTGGTGGTGGCGGTGTTGGCCTGGTGAAGGGAGCGGCGGCGTTCCTGGAGGTTGCGGCCAGAGCGCGTGAGGAGCAGAGCTGCCTGCGCCTCCGGGTTTTCGCAAGTGACATGCAGGTGAGCATCCGGTTCCCTTTCCTTTGCTTTATCGATCACTACTGTCAACTATTTTTACTCTCACACAACTCCCATGTCAACTGGTGTTATTTTTCTAGATATGCCTCATGAACGCTGGCTTCGCGTCTGGAACCGACCGGCCAAGTGCACCTGCTGGCCTGACACCAGCCCAACGTATGTATCGGGCGTCGCGCAAAGGGGGCACCAGCGCCGCCAGGGCGAGCCTTAAGAAGCTGGTCACTTCCATCAAGGGCAAAAGCAGCTCGCGCAACAGATCAGGTAACTTTCTTTCTGGCCAATGGATTCATGGCATCACTCTTACCTAAGGACCATGTATCCAATCTAATGAAACTTGCTGTGCATGGAATGAGCTGCGAATTGCAAAAGGTACGACTTTTTCCTGCAGGGGCCGGCACAAATGCTGTTGCAGACCAGGATGTGCACGCCTGGGCATGCGATGCTGCACAATGGCTTGGCCTGGACGCGCAGGGCTTCGTCCGCCTGCGAAATTCGGCGGAGCTGATGGCAGAGGAATTGGCCCGCTGGTTGAACCAGCGCCGCGAACGAGGCAAGAGTACGAAGGACGGTACGTGGGTGTAGCTTGAAGCGATGCTCAACAAGATGATCGTGTGATTGACCTGCGATAATCAAAATATACTATGCAGGCCCCTCCACGATGCAATTGTTGGCTTTATCGTCCGAGCTTCGCAACTTTCTGGCCGTTGGCTTACCGTCGCTCGAGCCGCTCCTTTCCTTCCAAGCCAACCTAGCCGCCGCGGCAGATCTCTCGGCCCTTCTGCTGCTGGACCCTTCACGGTCGTATGGGTCCGTGCCGGGCAACGGCCTTGCGGCGGACGCGCGAGGGAGCATTCCCTGGGAGCTTGCTAGTAAAGGTGTGCTGATGCACACCACCATTGACAGCGGCACTGCCAAAGCAACCGAGCTACCACTGTCGTCCGGTCTTACTGTGCTGACAATCTTCAAGGACGCAATCGAGGCCTTGCAAATGCAGCAGGTGAGGCTACGCTTTATTGAAACTCTGCGAAACGCTTTTTGGGGTCCGTGGCACCTTGAAAATGTGTGACATGTGCCACATCTGCAGGCCCAGGCTAACGCTAGCGGCTACCCAGAGCCCTCTACGGCAGCTCGTCTGCAGCTGCTGTACCGCCGCCAGGCAAAATGGTGCCTTGGTGCGTTCATGCAGATGGCCGCAAGAAGGGTGTGGGCAACCTACAAGGTAAGCGACCGAATATCCCATCTGCTTCAGGTAACTCCGTGATCTTGATGTGAGATTTTGTATGTACGAAGGTCCAAGCTGCGCGGTCGAAGCTGGGACTTGTCATTCCGCCCGGGGCCCCTGACGTCGCTGCAAGCACAGTCGCCTTCCATGGCCTGTTCCGACCGCTGCGAGAGGACACCGCACCTCAGCAGCTCCTGCTGCTGGCAAATGCTGGGTAGGTGCGCCTTCTAGACCATGTTTCTAGTTCTTGGGGGCTCTCCCACGGAATGGTACGGAATACCTCCTCTTGCTGCTATAGTCGTTCGGTGGAACATTATTCATATTGTATAACGTTTCCGCTAACTGTGAAGCTCATTCTCCATTATTGATGGTTGCAGGTTGGACACGAGTGTGGACACTAGTTTTACACTCAGTGACCAGCTCTCCTGCGCTATCGACGACCTGGTCCGCCAGTCCGCCTCTAGGACTGCAGACCTGCTGCTGGGATCTGACCTAACGTCGCTGTTGGCCGTTAAGCAGCAGGTGCGGGGTACACTCCTGTGGGTCTGGGGATTCTTGTGTCTATCGCCGTCCTGCACGCACAGATTATTATTTCACTGCTGATGTTTCTGTTCACCTCTTTCTGTATTTGGTCCGGCAGCTGGATGTGCTGTCTACTGCGGTGACACGCCTACGTCAAGAGCTTCCCAGCATCCGGCCCTGGAAGGATGTTTGGCTGGCTGCTCTGGCGGCTCGCGCGGCTTCATCCCCTACCTGCGCAGCCATTGCGGAGGCTGCCGCTGCTACTGCCGCCGCTTTGACGCAGGGTTGCGGCAGCAGCGCGGCTGGTATCACAATCAGTGCAGAGGATGTCGTCTTAACGCACGCATGTAGTGTCGCGGCTCTCCGCACACTTAGCACGTGGTCATACGATATGACGGCTGTCAGGTTCCGCCCGACGAAGCACACCAAGGTGCGCAAGCTCGTTTCTCATAATAACCATCCACGCGTTGCATAAAAGTGATCTACTCGAAGTGATCTATGTCCTCTGATCTATCTACTCGAAGTGACCCATATGTCCTCTTGCCACATGCAGATTATTTGGGATGGCCTCGTAGGAAACACCGCCTCCGAGGCCGTATCGCCTCTTTTCTTGGACGGCGCTGACATTGCTCTAGCCAATATTGCCGTTGACTCAGCGTCTGGTGGCGTGCGGCAAGGCGGCCGGGGCAGCGACGCCAACACTTCAATTTTCGGTCGGGCCCACGTTCATGCCTTACACGGCCTTTTGGGCCTCACTGGCGTGGGTCGCTGGGTTGCGGCCCTACGTCGGCATGCTGTTGACCTACTGGCGGTGAGTCACGCTGCTGCTTTGCAATTGCCTGTTGAAAGACGTACAGTGGATCCGACCAGATTACTGGGGAAATCCGCACCCAAACACCTGCCCTGCTGACCACTTAATTACACATTATCCTTGGTTACAACAGGATGCCGCGCCTCTCTTGCGGCGTGTGCATGAGTTATATGACAGCAGCTTAGCTGGTCCACGGGGGCCCAGCATGCGGGAGTCAGGAGGCGCGTCGGGCTACCTTCAGCTCCAGCAGCGTTGGCTCCGCGACCGAGGTCATAGCGAGCTGCTTGTCTCGGCACATAGGGCTCTGCAGGTAAGGTGTTTGGATTATGGCTAATGCTGCCATAGCTTACCTGTTGAACGTTGTGTTTTTGGCACTTGTACTGAAGCGCGTGCCAATTTCATGCAGGCTCTGGGTAACACCGTAGCAGCTGTAGCTCTCACTGACAGCGTTTTAGCGGAGCTCTGCATCGGCAGGGCACCACACCTGCTGCCTTTGGCTGCATCGGCGATGCAGGTGCGGCACATAGCACAACGTACGTGCTACGGTACGACATTGGCCTTACTGGACCCCTTCCGCCCTTCACAGGCTGATCAGCAAGCCCACGCTGCTCTCAAGGCCATGGCCACTGCAGGTACGTCCATTAGTGTGGGCCTTCAGATGCATGTCATATGTAGTATCCTTACGGGCCCTTCTGTTCATGTCCGCAGACTCGGGCGCTCCTACCGGAACAGGCATGGTCAAACCGGGGCCATCCCCCACGGTTCCGCCTCCTCCTCGGGGCGCGGGTCTTGCCGGCTTGTTGCTCGGCCATATGCTGCCGCCAGGCCTTATGGCTGTCTCCCAGTCGGCCGTCCAGGCAGCTTCCCTTGTTCAGGAACGGATGCAAGAACAACTGCCAGCGGCATTCGGTCTGCCTGGGTGGGTCTATGGGTATTCAGAGCAAATACCCAGAAGTAAAGTTACGGTGCATTAACAAGCTACGTGTGCCTTGTTGACAGGCTATGGCGTGCACTCTATGAGTGCTTATGCCCACTGCAGCCAGCTCGTTCGGAGCCTCTCCTATCGGCTTCGCGGCTCTGGTCAGTGGTCCAAGTGCAGCTTTCCTGCTTGACACCCGAGGAGCAGGTGGTACATTCTGCCAACGTCGGAGATGGTGTTTATGTATCAGCGGCGGCGCTCGTGCAACTTGCCGCCGCGGCAGCTATCGCACCCGGAAGTGTGCTGTAAGTTCGTGAAGGCAGCATGGCGCACGAAAATATCTTCTTGAACGCTGCTTTCCTTATTAGCAGCTTCGGAAACGTCGTGCCTCGCATTACTAATCCCGTCCTGTGCACTCCCTTGCCGCAGACATGGGGATACCATGACACAGCTACAGCAGGCCGTCACCCTGGAGCAATTGAAGTCCGAGCTGGCTGTTGCCGCTGCCCAGTCGACCCATCCTGCGCACTCGAGTGTAATGGTTGAGAAGGCCACTCTCGATCAGCTCAAGGTGCGTTGCCTTACGCGATGCTGAGAATCACTTCGAAGCTCCTGATGGTTTCCTTTGGGGCGTCGCAGGCATGGGCAACGCGTGCTGAATCAGTTCGCGCGTCCTGGGATCGAGCTGTGCAGCTTACAGTTGGTGCCGGTACGGCAGCATCTAGAATGCCAGGTGAGTTAAATAAATGCTCTTGCAAGCTTTGATTGGGCGCCGGGGTCACCTGCTTTCCCATTTCTGACCCAATAACCATCACAGGCCAGCGCTCTGCTTGGCCGGATTCCTCGGCAAGCCAGGCAACTCGGGCCCTCGACACACCAGCTCTTGTCTCCTGCAGCGGTGAGCAGTGGGTATACTTGGTGCAACATGCATCTTCAGCTGGAGCAACCATGCTCGCGCGGGCTGCGGCTGCGGCAACGGCATCAGCGCCACATTCCGTAGCACAGCAACAACAGGCAGTTGCGAATAGCCAAGGTGCACCAGGTTCCCGTGGACAAGCAGGATCACAGGGCCGCCCACCAAGCCAGCCTGGCATGCTGAACGCGACGGTGAGGAACAGGCACATTATTGTTCATCCATGCACGTATGCCGCACGTTATGGAGCCTAAACAAACTCACGGAACATCAACTGCACGTGTCCTAAACGGCTGTCGTTGCCATGCAGATGCCGCCCATGTCGCGCAACGCCCCTCCGCGCCCGCCAACGAACACCACCTCCCAGCAACCGGGTTCGGCGACGGCCGGTAACGCTGCTTTGCACCGGAACTCCCTGAACGGGCCACCTCTCCCGCCACGCGGAGTGGTATCTGGGCCCATTGCCCACGGCGGACGGAGCACCTCAGGGCAGGTCATCGAGGGCCCTGTTGCCCACCCACCACCACCACCACAGCAGCAACAACAACAGCAGCCGTTGCAGCAGCTTCGTGCGGCGTCCCAGGTGCTCATGAAGTCCCCCAGGGGTGACGGCACTGGGCTGGGAACGCATGGTTTATTTACAATCGCCGGTAGTACGGTAGCACAGAGCCGGTCGCGCGCGGCCTCAAGCCTTGGCGACTGGGGTCAAATTGAGTGATTCACTTTTTGTTGAATAGCAAATTGATACTCGACTGGGCACTCCCAGGCTAGTTACTCGTTATTTCGTGCAGTGCCAATGGTTGTTATTCAATATTAATGGCAAGTTGGGAGGTTTAGAAGCTAGCTGTTGCTATTGCGATTGAATGAGATTGTAGACTTGAAAGGATAGAAAGAGCATTTCGTACATGACAGTAGGGAAGGTATAAACGTCGTTTCATAATACTGATCATCATGTGATAAGCTGAATAGATTTGCAGGATAGATACACGCAGAGTTACGAGTCGGGTGTGTAACCATACACAGAACAACAAGCATTTGGGTTTTAAGCATCTTGCCACAAGACACTGTAAGAAGTTTTGCGAAATATTGTGTTCGTTACGTGTTTACCAGCCTCCACAGCTTGCAACCTCCTAGTCCGTCGCAACCCTTACGCATATCAGCCCATCTATTCATCCATTCTGCAACTTCTTAGTCTTGTAGAACACACAGGAGGATAACGTGGTTCCGGTCAGATTGACACAACCAATTGAACGGTATGCACTCGCACCCGGCTATCTAAATCTTCACCCCTTTCTCTAATTGCTTTCCCTCCTATCTACGAAAAAAACTGGCACCCATTATAGAAACTAAAAACCTAAAACCCACATTCCCCAAGCAGCAAAACAGCCCCTATGACGTACAATGAATAACCCACGGCCCTGGCAGCAGCAACTCCACCTGCATTAACATCACGCCACGGCGTGCCCTACCCCTTGCCAGTTTGCCCGCATGGGCCACGCCGGGACCCACATCAATGCTCCTAGCAACGTCCACCCTGCCGCCTCCTTGCGGAAGAGCGAAATGGAAAGCAAGCCGGGACCGGCTACCTTTGAATGGAGCGAGGAGCTGTCTGCAGTCACAGAGCCCCCACCTCCGCAGCACCAGACGTTGCCCCTCGCAACACCCACAAGTACTGAAATACTATGTGCAGGCGGACACGCGCACTTCATGGCAGCCCAATCCCTGGGCTTCCTTCGTTTTGCAACCTCCGTCACGACAGAATCCCAAGTCGCATCAAGCACACAGCAAGTCAGGGCGATAAGTGCGACAGGCGGCAACACTACATATTTCACAAGATGTAAAGCTCCGTCTTTATGGTACTCCACTCTGTTTTACGGACAAAGAAGGGAAGCCGAGCACATGCGCTTATGAGGATATCCAAGGGCTTGTTTAGCGAAGGTTTGTGAAGTATCACCAGGGAATACATCCTACCCCACCCCTTGGAGCCCCTAACTGAGGGACTGCCCGCGCCCAACCCCCCCAAAGGCACCGTCCCTATCCTTGCAATCCTTCCCCCCAGTACGCGTACGTTATGTTCTTGGCATCCCGCACAATCTCCACACACGACGTACGGTATCATCACCAAGTCCCACATCGGACAAGCACAGCCCATGCACAAATACAACCCCACCCCAGAAGTCGGCGGCCAGCAATTTCCGTCCGAGGCTGATGAGGTCAATGTCAAGTCGCTCAGTGTGGCTAGTGCGTAACAGTGCCCAGGCTCGTCAGGTCGTCCAAATCTCGCCAAATGTCATCGTCAGGATCCACCTCCTGCTCCGCCTCCACAGTTCCCGCAGGGCCAGCACCGGCGTTAACAGGCGATGTACCAGCAGTCGCAGCAGCGGCATTTGCAACCGCGGCAGGTTGCGTCGCCAAGCCAGCCCCAGCCTGCACAGGCGGCAATGGCAACGCCGGTGCCGTCGCCATCACCGCTTCTGCAGCAGCGGTTGTGGTGGTAATGAGTACGGCTCTCAAATGTGCCTTTGAATTCGACCCTGCCAGAACGGCTTCCCCGGTTTTCGGCGTCGCGTCACCCGGCTCAGCCGTACCGACGACATCACCAGCAAACGGCTCTGGTCTGCGGGGTATGGCACTGCACGGCGTTGTACACAAGACGGCGCCGGCAGCTGCCTGATGGTCTAGGGGCTCCGGTGCGGCGCAACGCAGCGCACCCAAAGCCCGTGCGCCGGTATCGGGCCAGGTCCTCAGGGCTGCGTCGCTGCAGAGGCTGGCGCCGGCGGCAGCTTCTGGACCCGTCCGCGTCCGCAGCGGAGCGAGGTCACGGACATTGCGGCGCGTACCTTCACCCGAGGCACCCTCCACGATACCCAACGCCTCGCCGGTCGCCGGGACGGTGGCAGCGGCCGTCACGGCTACAGCAGTTGCGGCCTCGGCGGCAACGGCCCCAGCAGCCCCGTCTCCACGCGGTTGCAGAACACCCGTGTCTATGGACATGTTCATCTCTTTCTGGTGGTCCATATGATTACGGTCATCGCGACTGTGGCTGCGCGTATGCTTACGGCTGACGTTGCAGTCTTGATAGTGATTGTGACAAGGCAGCTGCTGCTGCTGCTGCCGGCCCTCAGCGGGAGGCAAGCCGTACTCTGCTATGTCACCTGAAGTACCCTCTGGCTCCGGAACCGCCGCCGCCACCCCTCGTGCGTTGTCGGGCAGATCACTGGCGCCTCCGAGGATGCCCTCGTCCATGGTCACATCGGCCGGGGCGGCGGTTGCGGACAGCTCGTGGTGGTTTTGGTGTTGGTCGGGCTGCTGCTGCTGCTGCTCCATTCTTGCACCTAACGGCATCGATGGTGGGGGCGGCGGCGGCGGCGGCGGCGGCGGCCGTAACGATAGATGGACGGCGGTAGATTGTGGCTGTATCAGCTGGCTAACGGTCAGATGCTCTCCTTCGGGGCCACCCGGGTGCGGGAAGGAGGCACGCGACCTGCCGATCTGGCCAGGCAGCTGATCCTGTTGTTGTTGTTGTTGTTGTTGTTGGTGGTGGTGGTGGTGGTGGTGGTGATGGTGCAGAGATTGCGAGGGCTGGTTGCCGACCCAGCCATGCCCTGCAGTGCCAGCAGCGCCGTTAGGTCGGTGCAGGGAGCTCTTGTGTTCCTGTCGGCTGTCGGCGGCAGCCGGACCCACGACTGCCGCGGCTATGGCCTCCGGACCAAATGCCTCCTCCGGCTCAGCGACGGCCGATTTGGACTTGGAGGAGCTTGATTCGGAATCGGAGTCCGAGCTGGACCCTGAGCCGCCGGAGCTGCTGTCATCGGATCCGGAACTGGAACTCGAATCCGAATCTGTTCCGGACCCTGAACCCGACTTGGATGCATGACGTGAGTTGGACTCCGATGCCTCAACCTCCGGCAGAGCGGTGATGGTAACGCCGCCGCCGGTGGCAATGCCGCTGCCGGTGGCGGAGCGACTGCCAATCATGCTGCCCGCGGCCACCGCTGCCGCTGCCGCTGCTGCTGGCAAAGCCGCCACCAAGCTGATGCAGCCGACGTTGCGGTCTACATTCGAGTTACGGATCCGGCCCCGGCCACCGCTGCCGTGCAACATCCTGTCACGCACTTCGTCTCGAGGCAGCGGCCCTTGGCTGCCGCCACCGCCGCCGCCGCCGCCAGGGGTGCCAGCGGCACGGCACGGATCCCGCACTTCCCGCCCTGGGTCACGTTCCCTGGAGCGGGAACACCCCCGACCGCCGCCACCGCCATCCCCCCCTTCCCACACAAGGCCCCGCTCCCGCTCCCGCCGATCTGCCATCCCACCCGCCACACCGCTGCCGTCGCCGTCACGGCCGTCCCTGCCCCGGTCGCGCTCCCTGTCCTGACCCACATCATGCTCGCGTTCATCCCCCCGCAGCTCATCTCTGAAGCGCCCGCTGCACCCTGCCGCTCCTCCTCCTCCTCCTCCTCCTCCTCCGCCACCGCCGCGCTCCCGCTCGCCCCTGTCGCAAGCCCGCTCCCGCGCCTCCCTCCGCAGTCCGGCTGTGTTGCGAGCTTGCCAGCTCCGTTCCCGCGCCTCCCGCCCTCTCTCTCGTTCCCGCTCCCGCTCCAAATCCCTCGGCCGGCCCCTGTCACGCGTCCGCTCCCGCTCTCCAGCGCGTTCCAAGCGGTCCCTCTCAAACCCACCACGATCCCTGGATCGCTCAAGATCTCGATCTCGATCCCTGTCGCGTTCGCGATCCCGGTCCAGATCTCTGAGCCCCTCGCGGAGACCATCTAAATGGGCGCGGTCTGGATGGGCGCCGCCGCCGCCGCCGCCGCCGCCAGCACCGCAACTACTGCGCTCCCGGGATCGGTCTACCTCCCGCGGGTAGGGGAGCTGCAGCAGCGGCGGCGGCGGCGGAGGCTGTGCCGCAGCTGCCGGCGCCGCAGTAGCAGCCACCGCATGCAGGTCCCCTCCGCCTTGGACCTGGCGTTCGGCTTGCTCCCCGCACGAGTCGACAGGCTGCGCCGCCATCCCGCCGCTACCGCGGATGCCGTACGCCCGGCTGCCGCCACAGGCGGAAGATCCCACGGCACCTCCGGCTTCTTTATCAGGCTCCGAAAACCCTGTCACCGCCGCCGGCCGTCGCCCATCGTCTGCTCCATTCACAGGATTCTGCGGCGGCGGCAGTAGCGGCACTGCCCCAGCACTGTACTGCGCCTGCTGCTGATGGTGCTGGTGGTGCAAGGCCGAGCCTCCGCCGCTGCCGGCGGAAGGGGTGGTAGTCGTGGGGGTTGCCACAGGCACTGCCGCTGCGGCAGCAGGGATGGGGCCCTGCCCCTTTGTTTGCCGTACGGTTAACAACGCCGCCGCTTGCAGGGTCGGCGGCGGCGGTGGCGTTGACAATTCGCGAGGCTGCTGACGGCCCTCACCATCATCCCGCAGCTTTGTCGGCGATTCCTGGCTCTCGCCGCCGCCGCCGCTGCCGCCGCCACCCCCGCCGACGGAAGTGGCAGCTCGGCACTCAGCGGAGAGGCTGGTCGCGGCTAGCGTCGCACCGTCCACTTCCTGGACCTGCATGACGGCAGCGGCGGTGGCGGCCGCCGCGGCCGTGGCGGCGGCGACGCTGCCCTCGACCGCTGCCGCCGCTGCCGCAGCCTCTTTCTGCTGCTTTTCCTTTTGGCGCCTAGCATCCTCGTCCTGCCGGAGAATGGGACCACGCACACACAGGCCACCTTAAGCATCCTCCCTTGCATAAGGCCCCCCTGCACAAACCAATACGGCCCCGCGGGGCCTTACGGGCACCCCAACAACCCCCCTGACACACACCTGTCGTACCACACGTCACCCTCGGGGCCAGGTAAGGTTGCCGGCGGTAAGAGGGCCCCCTTCTGTCCCGCCCTCCCCTTCCCCCCCCTCCCCACCTCGAATGCCCGGTACAGCCGCTCGCACACACTGAGTCGCAGGTCGGTGGTCAGCAGCCTCCGTGCCGAGTCCATCAGAGTCACTCCCGCCCGCAGCGCCTCCCGCTCCGGCAGGCCACCTGGGAAACGAGCCACCTTCTCGAACTTGAGCTGAGGGGGAGAGGAGGAGGAGAGGAGGGGAGGGGGAGAAGGTGGCCAGTGGCAGCAGCGCTACGGCACAGGGTTAGAACGTTTACATGGGACAGCCATGAGCCGCCACAGTTGAACACACAACCCGGGTGCAAGAGGGGTTGGGGGTGCGGCGGGTACTTCAAGGGGTAACCAGAGGTTGGGGCTCGCAGACCTTCAGCTTGTCCCCCCCCGACCACCCCACCCTCCCTTTAAGCGCGTCCGATTGCCGCAATCGGCTCGCTTATCAGGGGGGAGGGGTGGTGTACAAGAAGCAGAACTTGGTTGGGGGGTAATGGGGGCCCCTCCAAGCCACCCGGGGCTTCCCAACCCACCGCAAATTTGAATCTCCAGTCTGAGGAGCGGAACATCTCCAGGCCCTGCCCCGCAGCCCGGCAGTAAGGCCCGTGGAGCAGCCGCCGGTCAAAGTTCCAGAAGAAGACCAACGTGGAGCCGGAGATGCTCTGTGATGAGGGCGGGGGGGGGGTGCGTGCGCGCGCGCGCATGTGTGTATGTGTGTGTATGTGTGTATGTGTGAGGTGAGGGTAAAGGGTCATTTCAAAGAAGGGGGAGGGGGAATGGGGAGAGGGGATGCCGCCGGCGAGGGAAAGGCGGGACCTTGCACTTTTACGTTCTTCCGCTCGTTCACCCCCCCCCTGGCGCCGCCTCCACCAGGCCCTGATCCTGATCCCCACCCGCCCCCCCCTACCCCCTCCCATCACAATCACACTCGCAGGGACACCCGCCAAGTGCCCCCCACCGCACTGCACTGCCGCACCTGCATCGTGTCCCGGTCGTTGGAGCCGAAGCGGCCACCCCGCATCACCTACAGTTGGTTTGTTCGTTGGTGGGTGGTTAGTCGGTTATTGGGACACAGCTAGGTAGTACGGGCGGCCGAGGGAGTGGGATAGAGATGGGGCGGCGCGGTTCACGATTCCGCCGAGTCAAGCACTCAGTACTCAAGACACGCTTCTCGCAGGCCCCTTCCACTCCCCCAACACCGGATCAGGCCGGGGACGGAGAGGGGAGTCTTGTCTCGTGTTTCAGGCTCAGTGAACGCACACTCGCGTGACAGAGCCTCTTGACTCGCGAGAGCGTGCGCGGGTGCGACGGCCCCCCACCCCCACCCCCGGGGGATGGGGAGAGCGGAGCTAGCGGACCTGCGGCTCTCGGCTGCTTAGGGGGAGGGGACAGAGGCCCCTCTAGCGCCTCTCTCACATCCGCGGAAGTCCGCGAGAGGGAGCTTAGGCGGTCTTTCCGTCGCGGCTGGACAGCAGCCCCTGGCCAGTGTCAGGCCCGGTGTAACCTTTCACACACACACACACTCGCATACATGCATACATACATACATACCTCGTGCATGGTGTCATTAGAGTAGTTGAACAGCACTCCGTTCTTGTACAACCGGGTCACATCTCGCAAGGTTGGGTTGACTGGAGGACCGCGAATAACTGCGGGGGCTGCAATGGGGGGGCGCAAAAGTAGATTGGGAGGAGCAGCAGCAGCAGCAGCAGCAGCAGCAGCAGAAGAAGACGTGGGGGGAAAAACAGACACATGTACAGCTAAGGAGATGTACAGCCAAGGAGGTAACGCAAGAACCCCGGGCGACTACTGCAAAATTGTTATCCGCACGAGGAGGAGCTACAGTAGAGCGGGGCAGCAGCAGCAGCTGCGGCACCACCTCCACCACTTCTTCATCCCTCCATGTGCGTCCGATCCCCAATCAATACTGTGCAGCGCTGCAACCATCACTCGCAGCGACGGTGGCACCGCACTCACCCGGAGCCGCCGCTGCCGCCGTACCCCCGGTAAGGTCTTCCTTCACACCCACCCACCCACCCACCCACCACACGTGCCACGCAACTCACCGTCCATCTGCGCGGGCGCCGCTGCCGGCCGAGCCACTTGCGCGTCCAGCCGCCTTTCCCGGGAACGAATCGCGTCGCGGTCCAAAAGAGAAGAGGGCTCCTTGGCGCGGTCCCGATCCCGCTCTGCGCCGCGGCCGTTGCTGCTGGGGGCTCCCCCGCGGTCGTACGGGGCCCGCCGCGGTTCCCTGGACCGATCAACATCCCGATCGACCCCGCCGCCGCCACCGCCGCCCCCACGCTCCCTGGAGCGGTCCCGGTCCCGTGGATCGCCGCCGCTGCGCTCGCCACCGCGGTTGGCGTAGCCGCCACCGCCGCCACCGCGGTCGAAAGGACGGTCCCGTAGGTCCCGGCGGCCGTCGCCGTCCCGTGGGTCGCGCAAGTCCCGATCAGAGCCGTTCCCCGTCCCCGCAGCCGCAGCCGTGGCGGCAGCCCCGCCGCGCACTCCAGAGCTGCCACAACCGCCGACGCCGATGCGCAGCTCCTCCTCTGCGGTACCATTGTTATCCCGCCCACGCTCTCGCACATCACGACGCTCCCGCTCCAGGTCCCGCTCCTGGTCGTACGACTCTGGTTTGCGGCGGCTGTCGGTCGTCGGCGACACGGGAGGCCGGGAGCCTTTTCGTTCATGATCTCATTACGTCGAATGGAGAGGAGGAGGACGACGTCCCTCGTTGCCGTTCCGGCTGGCCAGCAGCTTCAGCTTTATTTCACGGTTTCTATCTTGAGGATTGGTTGGTTCGGTTACTTCAATCTCCAGAATCGGTTACTTCAGTTTGCGTACCAACTGCATGGACCAGTCCCCGGGGTATCACCCGCGGCGATCGGCGGCTGCCGACCCACGGGTCCCTACACACATGACACCCCCGACATCCCCACCCACCTTGCCACATCCCGCTCCGCGGACGCCGTTCGCTCCCAGGAGTGCGCACCCGCGCTGCCGGCGGCGGACGTTGTGGCGGTACCGGCGCCACCGCCGCCACCTGCGCCGTCGCCACCGCCTGCAGCTCAAGAGAAACGGCAAACCCCACACGGACTTAGGCAACCCTTCCTTCTCCCTCCTCTCTGTCTGTCTGCCTATATCTGTCTGTCTATCTATCTGTCCGTCTGTCTAACTGTCTGTCCGTCCGTCTGTCTATTTATCTGTGTTGATCCAGGCCACATTATCTCGGGGATAAGCAAGGCGGCCCGGACAGTGCGGGAACCATTTGGTGCCACCCCCCCACCACCACCACCACAGCAGCAGCTGCAGCACATTCGCGCTGTAAACTGGCCATGAGGTGCACTGCCGACCCCACGGGGAAATGTCCGCGGCGGGGCCCCCCGTCCCCCCAAATTCCCGAATTTTGATCGCAGCTATGCTGCCGTACCGGCTGTGTTTGCGCCAGCGCTGTACGACGATGCGCCTACTGCCATGCAGCCGGGCGGGTGAATCGTGAAGTTAGACGGGCCCAGGGTGCGGGGCGCACGGCGGGGCGCGGTGGCGTGTTCGGCCGGACCGGCAGGCATCAGTCCTGGCCGCGGTGGCCTGCCGCCGGCGGAGGCTGCCAGGGCCGCCGTCACGGCAGCCGATGGCCTCATATTAACGCACCGATCGGCGGCGGCGCCTCCGCTGCTGGCGTCAGCGGCACTGCTCGTACCGCCCTCATCGCCACTGGCGCTGCCGCCGCCGCCTCCCACGCCGGTACCTTCGGACAAGCCGTCCTCGCCGCCGGCGACGGCGCCACTAGAAGAGGACTTCCCGCCGCGGCGGAGGCCGGAGATGGCGTACGGCGCACGACGGTGGTGGTGTCCTAGGCCGCGGCCCCCGGCGCCGTCATGCCCCGACAGGCCTGGCGGCGGCGGAGGTGGCGGCGGCGGCTCCACCTGCGACGCGCTCCCCGACCGCGTCATTCCCTGTGCCGTACGGCCACCACCATCAGCTTGGCTTCCAGCTACGTCTGGCACCTTGCCGTACACAAAGAGAGGTGTACGGCGCTGAATCCCGGATCTACCCGCACCGACGCCGCCTCCATGACTTGCGCCGCCGCCATTACTGCCGCCAACTGCGGCCTCACCGTCATCACCGCTTAGCCCTGGCGGGGTCGCCTCGGGCAGCGGCGGCGGCGCTTCCGTGTCCTCCTCACCAACCATGACGACGGCCTGCGGTGGAGGCGGCGGCAACGGCGCCGTACAAAAGCGCTCGCTTCCCCAGGCGCCAAGCTTCTCGCGCAGCGCCGCCAAGGCACGCTCCCCTTCCTGTGCCGCCTTCGCGGCTGCGTCGCCTTCACCTCCGCCGCCGTGGGCCGACCGTGTCTTACGCGCCATGCTCAGCTCCCAAAGCGCCGCCTGGCTGTCAACCCAGACACTGCCCCGCAGCCGACGGAACGGCAGTAGCGTCGGCAGTAGCAAACCCCGGCGAAGCTCGCACAGAAACCGTGAATAGCCCGTCAGGTCCAGGCCCAAGGCGTTGCCGTACGGCGCCGGCGGCGGCGGCACTGCTGCCGATGCTACCGTCACCTTGGCGTCCAGCTCATTGCCCTGGCCCACAACCTCAGCGGGTCCAGCCGCCGTTGCGGCGCCGGCAGCACCGTCCAGGTTCGGAGAGCTCCCGGGGCGGCTCAACACGCCGGTGCCGCGGCTGGCGGCGCCGTCAGTGGCGTCGGCGTTGCCAGGCGGTGCCGCATCGCCGCGCTGGTGGTCGCCACCGGCGGCAGCGGCATCGACCTCGGCCGCCGTCGGCTCAGAGCCTAGGGCTGCGGCCGTTTCGGCGGCCGCGGCCGCGGCGGCGGCGGCGGCAGCCAGTGCCGCCGGTGCCGCTGCTAGTGTGGCCCTCGCCGGCAGCTGCGCCGACGGCGCGGCCCGCAACTTGGCCGTCACCAGGGTTGTCGGCCTCCCTAGGTTCATTCTCGGTGCCAGCACCTGCGGCAGTTGCGGAAGGCTGTTGGTGGTCCCCACGCCGCCGCTGAGCCCCAATCCTGCACCCGTCGCCGCTGGCGGTGGCAGCGGCAGGTGTGTGCCTTGTTGTGGTGGCGCCGCCGATGTAGCGACTGCATTCGCAGCAGCCCAACCGCCGGCAGCTGCGCCAATGCGACCCGCAGAACCAGCAGCCGCCTTTCCCGCGTCTCCCTCGGGCGCTGCACCGTCAACGGAGCTGGCAACGGCGCCCGCCGTAGCGGATTTGTTCACCGCGGCATCCCGGCCTGCCGCCGCCGCCGCCGCTGCAGTTGCCCCTGCGGCAGCGACCGCCGCTGCCGCCGCCGCCCGGTCGGCAAGCCCCTGGCCCTTTGCCGGTAACGACGCCGTCGCAGCGGGCCGTCGAGGAGCCGCCACCGTCGACTGGAGCGGCGGTACGACCGCTGCCCCAGGTGCAGCCGCCGGCGATGGCGACTGCTCCGGCGTAGCACCGCCGTCCACAGCGACCGGCGACGGCGCGGCTCCTTTCGACCCCACGCCAAGTCCTGCCTCCTGCCCTCCGCCAGGCTCGGCTTTCGTGGCGGCGGCGGCGGCGGTGGAAGCAGCGGCAGGCGGCGGAAGCGGCGGCCTCGCCGCTTGCGCCGCCGGCACCTTCACCTGCGACTTCGACCCTCCGGGAGCTGCTGACGGTTTAGCCGGCAGCACCGCCGCCGGCCGATGAGACACTTGTCGCGGCGCACGTGCAACACCGCCACCAGCGCTACTGCCACCAATGGCCAACGTGCCGCCCGTAGCTGGCTGCGGCTCCTTTTCCTCCGTCGCCGCAGCCGCCGCCTTACCCACCGCCGCCGTACCACCCGCCGCTGCTCCCGCACCCGCCTGGCGACCTGGCGGCTTCCGAGGACCCGGCGGCCGCCGTCGAGGCGAGGTCTCCGGGCTGGCATCCTGACCAGCGCTGGCGGTCCCGGTAGGGGAAGCGCCGCCGCCGCCGCCGCTAGCCCGGCGGCCGCCCGGCTTGTCCTCCTCATCACCCACCGCAGACACGGACGGTCGCCGGCGGGGGCGTCCAGGAGCCCGGACGACCTCATCTCCGTCGCCCCCTGGACCGGCAGACGCAGCCCCGGGCTTAGCCCCCTCGCCCGCGTCACTTCGCTTCTGCCGCTTGCGGGCTGGCGGGACTCCCGGCCCCGAGCCCTCTCCTTCACCCTCGCCAGCCGTTTGCCGGGCTCCCTGTTGCCGCTGCTGTTGTTGTTGCCGTTGCTGTGACTGCGCTCGCTGCTGCGCACCTCCGCCGCCGCCGCTTCGGTCCCGCTGGGGGCCCTTTTTTCCGACCGGGCCGGCCTCGCCCGCTGAACCTGCAGTTGTGGCTGCTGCCGTGTTATCCGCAGGATTCGAACCCGGGATGTCTTGCGCCGGCTCGCTGCCCGAATCGCCCGACGCCGCTGCCTCGCTGCGCCTCGACTCCGATTCCTCAGAGTCTTCCACAATGGCGGGTTTCCGAGCTGCTGCTGCGCGGCGAGGCCTGCTGGCGGCAATACTGGTGTGCCCGCTGGCAGGTGCATCGCCCCCGCCGCCGACTGGCCCCTGCATCCCAGGTACGGCCACAGCCGCCGCTGCCGGTGACGGGTCCCTGCGCACGTTCCCAGAACAGGCATGGTTTGAAGGGGCGTGGGAAGGGGGATAGGGTGGCCGTTACCGCTCACGTTCATTTCTCGCGAGGGTCCTCCTTGACCAACAACCAACCCGCCCTACAAGGGGGCTACCCCCCCCCTTTTAAGTGTACTGCTACTGCTACTGCTACTGCCACCGCCGTGCACACCAGCCCTCATCCCGGGAGTCCATCAGTCCGGCGGCTGAGACCATTTGGCGCCTCACCCCGAATCGAAGGCCCATCCTCCTCGACCCGCAGAGACAACACAGGCTATCATGTTTTACGTATCTGAGCCGTAAGGGAGGAAAATGGTGATGATGGTCACGAAAGAACTTCAGTGCCCGTGTATTGCCATCTGGGTCGGTGCGCTTTCCCTTCCCCCCCACCTTCCACAACCACCACCCCGGTATTTACACGGGGGTTTCCCTGGCACGTTCTTCTAAGTCCTGGGAGGGCGTTGCAAGGCACCACCCTCGTCACCCAGCCGTAACCTCGTCACCCAACCTACCGGGAACACCCGGCGCTGCCGCCGCCAGCATCTCCCGCACCACCCGCCCACTCCGGGTCGCCGCTCTCGCAATGCGGGTTTCTTCCCCGACGACCCGCCCCCCCGCCACCACGGCCGCCCCGTGTGGCGCGGCGGCGGCCCCGCTTGGCTGCCCCAGCGGCCGCACTGCCGGGATGTGTCTGCTGATCGCCCTCCCCTTCGCCCGCTCCCACAGCGGCACTGCTGGGCGCCTCCAAGCCCGGTGATGCAGCTTCCCGGGGTGACGCCTCCGCTGACGGATCAGCTCCAGCGGGGCCGTCGGCGTCGGCGGCACCAGCAGCTGCAGGTGGCGCCCCCTCACCCGACGGATCTGCCGCTGCCCCGGCGGCGGCGGCGGAGCCCCGGCTGCCCCGGCGGCGGCCGGCAGCCGGCCCCACTGCCGCATCTTCCCCCGCTGCAGCAGCCGTCACTGCCGGCGACCCCCTCGAGGCCAGGCGCGCGGAAGTACGGCCGTTGCCAGTACCTCTGCCGGATGTGTTTGTCCCGGCAGCGGCGGCGCCGCCCCTCCCACGGCCGCGGCCCCGGCCCCGCCCACGCCCGCGCCCGGAAACTGTCGTTGTAGCTCGCTGTGACGCGGGCACCATCCCTTCCTCCGTGACCTCAGCACAGCCTGTGCCATAGACGCCGTTGGAGTCAGCGGCGGCGGCGGCGGCAGCTCCCTGGCCGTCCTCAGCTGGCGGCTCTGTTCGAGGCGTCGCAGCCGCTGCCATGCGCTGCCGCTTCGCTGGTGGTGCGCCGGCCACTGCGTCCGCCGCTGGCTTTGAAGAGAGCACGGTGAGGGGCACGTCGTCATCCGAGCCATGTGAGCCGCTGGGGGCGCGCTTCGCAGGTGACACAGTAGCGACTGCAGCAGACTGTCTTTTGGATCGGCCAGCTGTGGTGGGTGCTGCGGCGCATTGGGGCCCAGCACCGGGCCCCGCAGCGGCTGCAGCAGCAGCAGCCGCAGCCCCGATGGGAACGTCGTCGTCGTCATCGCTGCCAGCGGGTTCGCTGGGAGCTGCAATGGCGCCGCTGTCATGTGGCCCTCCGGCCTTATTGCCTTGGCCAGCGTTCCCCTCCTGGGTTGGATCGGCCCGGGGGGATGTTGCCGTGGTACGGCCGCTGGGGTGGCCCGCTCCTTGGCCTCCGCCATCAAAAGGCCCAAAAACTGACAGAGCCCAACGCCCCCCACCAGCTTTGCAGAAATGCTCCTTGTCACGGGACAGCTCCCCGGAAATCTAGGTCATGCACAGGTACGCGGCAGTGAAGGACGTATGACACAAATTTTCCTGCCGTGGACTGCTCCAGGCAATACTCTTAAGGAGTTAGGGATTTAGATTACTACAAGGTGGCAACAGCGTAAGCTGCTTGCATTGCCCTTAGGTCTACAGCAGCGTTTTCCGGAAAACGCGTGCAGAAACCCCACCGTTTGGTGTCAGGAGTTTGCAAAGGGGAAAATTGTGGGACTTTCCATAGGAACTTCCGCCAGCTCGCGGGCGAGCGGTCGAGTGTGGCGGGAACCTTCCCTTTAGGCTACACGCGAGAACAAACGAATTCAGACACCCCAAACAAATACTCAAGTGCTAATAATACTCACCGCGCCGGTGGGGTTCTTAAAGGTTATCTCCCGTTGCTTAACGACCAGCTCCACTAGAGCGCCGAGAGGCAATCCTGAAGGGTGATCCTTCAGGACTTGCCATATGCACCACTTGGTTGTTCCCGTAGACGTGAAAGGGCAGATAAGCTGGTCCTGAGACATCTCTACCAGTTACGCCCGTCAGCTGTGTCGCATCCAAACTACATACATATGTTTTATTGGCCGCACGATTTGCACAAAGCAGGCATTACATTAAGAGCACATTTGGAAGGCTACGCCGTTTCCGAAGCTTGCCCAGGAAACACGGCTAGCCTGGCTTCACTGTCGGCGCCCTTTCCCAGCAATGAATTTCTCCTAATTTGACGAATCGATGATAACATAAATTGCCAAACCTGCCACACGAAGGCAGGCGCTGTACGAGCGGCCAACGACTATTCCTGGAAGAGCCGATGGTGATGCGATGCAACCTGGCCATCGCCGATAACTAACGTTTATCCGTTTACAAGATTGCTCCTACATACAGATTAACTCTGTAATTTAACCAACTACTCCCTGCGCACCTCCAACGTCCTGACACACTCGAGGGCAGAGCCTCGCTCGGTGTGCGCTAGGCAAAAACCTCTGCACAGATGAAGCCTGTAGGTTGCGCCAGGGTCAGCGCGTTAGCATCCAGAAGTGGTTTGCCCTCCTGCGCGCTCCGTATCCGGTGCCCGCTGCTGCTATTGCGCCCTTCGCGCTGGCAACCAGCCACTGCAGCAGCCGCTGCTTCCGCGGACGGCGTTGCGGGCTGCTCCAACGGGGTCGGGCCAGCGGCCGGCATAGCTTTCTCACCCGGACCCTCCCAACTCGATCCATCCGGCGTTCCCAGCTCGGCGCAGCAAAACGGATTACATGCTGCTCCACCAGCAACCTACCCACCAGCCCAGGACGAGCCCCAAACGCTCCTGGGACGCGTCCGACGCTTCTTCACGGGCTCAAAGCTCGATAAGGCCCGATTAGCTGCACTTGGGTTCGGAGCGTTCAGTGCGTACGGCGTCATCAGCAATATCAATGCAGGTATGCACTCCACAATCTGTCACACAGCACACCAACCGCGTACCAAACCCAACGAACTTCTCAACCGTAACCCAACCTCCCGACCCCTCCAAAACGCCTCACTCCAAAGGCGTCCTCATTACCATCGCCTGGCTTGCCGTGGTCCGGACCACTGGCCTGACCCCCCTGGACGGCGGCAACTGGCCACGTTTCCTGGCCATCTACGCGGGGCTGTGGGTGGGATCCAACTTTCTGCGCCCCGTTAGGTTGACTCTGGCGCTCGCTGTCGCGCCGCTGTTCGACTCCGCCATCGGCGCTGTGTCCCGCCGCATTGGCCTGCCCAAGATCCCTGCCTTCGTGGTGATGCTGTTGTTCATCGCGGTGGGCACCACCAGCACCCTGCTGGCCACTTTGGCGGTCCTGGGGGGCTTCCCGCCGGGGTGCAGGATGCCCTGGCAGCCATGACCTTAAGGTTATATCCCGTTGCTTATTAACGTACGCAACCAATGCAATGCTGACGTAACCGACCAACAAGAGCACTGCGGGCGGCAATGTGGGCAACGGCAATGCAGCAGTGAATGCATGGCCTCTATAGCCAGCTGCACGTGTAGGCGGCCATGTAGGTCGGGCGGTAGCGCCGGCGGTAGCTGTGTGGGCTGCGAAGGGGAGGGGCTTAGGGACATTATTATATGGGGGTGCGGGGGCGGTGTGTGTCAGAGTGACGGGCACCTAGTAACGGCTAACGGTTGGAACAGGTTGGTTATGTGCCGTATTGGGGATTGTGGTGATGATCATGGTGATGGATGCTGTGTGGTGCTACCGGTGTGCTATCATGATGTCGCCTTGTCCCAGGTCTAAAGGCTCGGCGGCCACCGCCTACCCATTTACCAGGATGCATGTGGGCCCGGAGGGGTAAGGGCAGGGATAGGGGCGCGGGTGTCCAAGGGTTGCCAAGAGAAGAATTTTGGAAATGGCTAACATTTTGAGCTGCTTTCCTGGAAGGGTTTTATACTTATGAAGGGTTTTGCAGCTGTGTGCTTGTTTGTGCATGGAGGTTCCCAAGGCTGAAGATAACGACATTGCTTGGGAAGGCGTTTGTGGCTTGTGCGGTCAACTCTTGGAATTTCTCCAAAAGGCCTGTGGTCATGCTTTCTTTTATACGCCCCGGTATGGGATTATGGGTGGTATGTGGTGGCTGGCCTCGCCGTACAAGGCTGCCGAGGCTACTCCATGTGCAGGGCTTGGCTGTCTCTGGTGTCAGCGCTTTGCTTCCAGTATGACATCTCAGGACCCCCAGGTCTAACATTTTACAGAGCTTTGCCCAGTGAGCCAGTGGCTCTTGTCCCGCGAAGTCCATGGCTAGGGCTATGGGCCAGAGGTATTTGCTATTACATACATCGGTAACATGGATTTGCACACATGATAACTGAGTTATGAACTTAGGCATGGTTTTCCGCAGGGGCAAGTGTCCTATGTGCTGTTGACGGACTTTTCTTCATATGGGCTGGGTCTGGTATCGGAGCTGACGGTATGACAAAATGAAGCTTCCCTTCCGTGATCCTTTAATGTGTTGCCGCGTGCTAAGGGTTGAATTTTACTTTCAGCACTTTAAACGGCTGCAAATTGTAGGAGAGTTTTAATGCTTCAGAAGTCCGACGATGTGACTCACAGAGTGACCTCAAATGCTACCCTTAGCCTGGGTCGCAATTTTACGCCCGTTCAACAAAATAGGTTTCAGTCCAAATTTTGAGACAGCGAGGATGTTGGCCAATAGCCACTTGAGCGCGCTTTGCACCAACAGCACTCCGCAAAGACCTCGCCGCTCCAGACTTAGTTTTACATTCCAAAGTAATGTGAAGAATATTGCACCGTCAGGGCTTGGTGGTGTCGGATATTTCGTGCCGGGACGATGGCGAGGAGCAATTTTGCAGCCGGAACGGTGAGCACACGAGAATCTGGTTTCGTCTGTAAGTCGACAATTATACGAATATCCCCTTTGTTCGGCCGCTAGCTCGTGTTCATGGCTAGCCTTTGCATAGTTGACTACAAGGGAGGGCCTACCCAGTTGGCGTAGCACAGCACATGACATGATTTGTCCGGCTCCTCCAGCCTGCAGGAGATTTCTGAGCAACCCCGATATCTCCCTATTAAGAAATATTTTAAGTGCATCTGTGTGCGGGCATGGGCCTGCAGAAACTATGGTTCTCACGAGCGTGCCCCTTGCCTTCCCCATTCCACCGCCCCACAAACCAACCGCTGCCCAGCCATCCCCTTCTTCCCCTTCCTCCCATTCGCACCTGCCCGACCCACTAACACAGTACTCAACCAATCTCTCCTTCTAATACTACACCCCAACCTGATTTGGCCACATTTGGCTCGGCACTTGATTGTAATGTTCACAAGCCACAAGGCTGCAAAGACAAGTCGCCACGTGATGCAAACAGCCATCTCTGTTTCCGCCACATGCCATCTGACCCCGTCCTATTGCGCCGTAGCATTGCCACGTTGCACACGTGCACTGCAGCGGCAGCGGCCGCCGCTGCAGCCGGCGGACCAAACCCCGCCGAGCCGGGGACCGGTCGGCCGTTCGGGGCAGCGGGCCTGAGTGGCTGGGAGGGTCTGGACCCAACCAGTGTGCAACGCACCGCGGCGCAGCGGCACCGGGACGAGCTCCACACGCTGAATGTTGGTACGTGTCTCTTAATGTGTGTGGCTAGAGCATGCATCCCGTACACATCCCCCCGCAGGCAGCGTGGGTGGCGGGGTATGGACCCGGGTAAGGGGTGTCGGAGTCCGGTTGCGCTGTCAGGGAAAGGGGGGACGGCGGCGGGGAACCGGGCGTCTTCCCTGCCACGTGCCTCACAAATGTGTATTCCGTACATGATGTCATGCCGTGTTTCATTCCCTCCCGCACCCCTCAGTGGTTTTCTTGGTGTTTCACACACTTCCCGCCCCTTTCTCATCCTCTTTCCCCCCGCTCCATCACACGTACTGCGTGTGAGGCGTCGGTCGCCAGTTTACTGTTTTGCCTCTTGCATCACCCATAGGTTTCCCCTTCAGAGAGACACATACACATCTACACATACATAGGAGCGTGTGTGTGTGTTGCTCCCCGCAGCCATCATTGCCAACTTGCTGATCTTCGCTGCCAAGCTGTGGGCGCACTGGGTGTCCGGGTCGTCGTCCATGTTGGCGGAGGCAATGCACTCCGTGGCGGATGTGCTGAACCAGGTGGGGGGGGTGTCGGGGTGTCGGGGGGGGGGTTAGACAGCCGAAGAGGGGAGGGAAGGAAAGAGAGCGGGAATGATGACCCCCTTTGGAAAGGAGGGGGTCCAAGGCGTGAAGTGCTGAAAAGGATTAATTCTACTCCTTTTCTCAAAACCTTGCAGTCTTAGGTGGATGCACCGCATGCCACACACACGCACACATACATACATACATATCTTGTTTTCTCCACCTTGCCAACCTGCCTTGTTTCGCATCGCATCCTTCTTTCGCATTAACGTTTTCTGATCAATGAATGCTGCGGGGTCCTCGTGTCCACTGTCCACTTGTCCAAAAATGTCCTGCGAGATATGTAGGTACGCCTGCAGCTTTGTGTACCCCACCAGTGCTTTTTACGTTGTGTTGCTTTAAGTTGATGTGTTGCCGGGCACATCTCGCATCCGCTGTTTGAGATAGTGTGACAAAGCTATAGCCAGGCTTGACCTTTACGACCATTAGTAGTACATCCTTACCATCAGTACCTGCAGTGAACACAGCTCGTCTGCACTACGCGGGACGGGAAAGACAGTCTCACGAGACGGGATGACGACGACACCACAAACGTGGCGGTCTTTACAGGTCGATGACTTACTTCATCGCTTTGGACTCCAGCAGTCTACCTCCCACATACATTTCCTCGCGTGTGATTGTGATTTCCCCCCCCCCCAAACACACACACACGCCACCCCACGCCAGTGATTCCCCTTACCCCACCCACCCCACCCGCTCCCTCGCCTGGGGTTCCTTCGCTCCCTTCCCCTCTTCCCCCCCCCCCCCCCCGCGTCTCAGATGCTGTTGCGCATTGGGCTGTTGAAGGCCCAGAAGGGCCCTACGGAGATGCACCCGTACGGCTACGCACGTGACCGTTTCATTTGGAGCCTCATCTCCGCGGTCGGGATATTCTTCCTGGGAGCGGGTAGGTGGGCGGGCAGTGAGTACGGCAGCGAGTACGGCAGTGGGAGGGGCCCCTGGGGGGGCAGAAACGGACTTGTGGATGGGTGGTGGCGATTGAGAAGAGGGCATGGGAGGGGGAAAGACGAACCACGACTGAGTGAAGGTGCTGCCAGGGCAAGAGAAGCAGAACTGGACATGGGGGGGGGTTGTCTCGGACTTGAGGACTTCTGGATGCCAAGATGCGAGTGCCTAACGCCCTCACCTCCTCCATCCCCTCCAACCCCCCCTTACCCTTATGGCTATCTTACTTCTGGCTTCCTATCGGTTTATCCTCCTTGGCATCAGCTTCACTCGTTCACGTGGTTTATCTTCCACCCCCCACCCCCCTTACCCCTTCCTCCCCGCATAGGCGCCTCCTTCATCCACGGACTCCACACGCTGGTGGAGCACCGGGAACTGGAGCACATGGGCTGGAGCTACGGAGGTCCGTACGGACTAAGGGGGGAGGTGGAGGGGGGGAAGGGAGGGGGAGGTGGAAAGGGGGAAGGGAGGGGAAGGTGGAAAGGGGGAAAGAGGAGAAGCCGTGTGCAAGAAGCACTGCAAGGTCAGCTACCTGCGGGGAAAGGAAAGGGGGTCAAGAGAGGGACAAGCTGGAACTCCCCTCCTGCGGGCCCTTCTCCCTGCCCGCCTCGGTATACCCTACTCCCCATCCCCACACCAACCCCCGTCCCGACACAGACCCGCTCCCTGCAGCCCTCGCGCCCTTCCGCCCGAGGCACCCATCGCAATGATGCCCCCCTCTCCACTGGATGCGGCCCTCCATCGGCAGCTGGTCGTCTATCTTTCGCTTCATGTGCACATCACTTCCCCCCGGACCCTTCTCCCCCTTTCCCCCCCCCCCCCCCGTCGTTCCTGGGTTTGGCCGCCCAGTGCTGCTGCTGTCAGGTCTGCTGGAGGGCTACTCGCTGTGGGTTGCGAGCCGTGTGGTGGTGTCGGGCGCTACCTCCCGCCGCATGGGGCTGCTGCAGTACATCCGCAGTGGCATGGACCCCACCACGGTGGCGGTCATGATGGAGGACGGAGGGGCGGTCCTGGGGCTGGTCATTGCGGGTGGGTGAGACTCACCTGCGTGTGTGTGTGTGTCTCTGTGTGTGTGTCTGTGCGTGTGTGTGTGCGTGTGTGTGTGTGCGTGTGTCTCTGTGCGTCTCTCTGTGTGTGTTGGGTTTGAGAGAGAGGACGGGGAAGACAGGGCCATGTACGCCAACTGCCGACGCGTCCAGAGCTACCAGCAACCGCGGTAGTCCGGGGCAGGGGAGGGAGGGGAGTCAAACAGGGTGCTGTTGTAAGGCAGGACCCCCCGCCGTACAACGCAATGCCAGTATTGCCGCCAAACATTGCTTTGCTGGCGCAACACGGTTCCCTCACAGTGTCCTTGTACCCCGGGTCCTGTACGGCACCGTGTGCAGGTGTATGTACGGCACTCGCTCAGGCCACTGGGAATGCCATGTGGGATGCTGCCGGGTCCATCCTGGTGGGTGGCTGGTTGAGGGAGGGAGAGTTGATGTACGGATGGGCATGTAGGGATGTGTATTTCATGTACGCATACGTTTCGTACACGCGTACATACTGACTGACGTACAGATGTGTATCTGCTATGTGAATGAGGTATCGCTTTTGAACATGTGCGCTGTGTCCAACACGTGTGTCTGCGGTGAAATGGGATCTGCTATCTGTTATCTGTTATGTCTGCGGTATGGGTTGCTTACGGTTTTTGAGGTGATGACCCACGGGGAGGGAGGGGAGGGAGAGGAAGGAGAGGAGGGAGAGGAGGGAGAAAAGGGAGAGGAGGGAGATGGGTCTGTCTGTCCATGTCTGTCTGTATGTGTCTCCTCTGCTGCCCTGGCCTTCCTGCTCTGACACTACTGCCTGTATGTTGCCTGTCCCGTTGCGGTGCAGTGTGAAATCGCCTTTGGTAAGCCCAGTTCTTCCGTCTTTCCCTACCCTCCCCCCCTTCACACACACACACACAGCCCTCCCTATCCCTTGACCCCACTTCCACACGGGCCCCCGTTCACAGGTGGGTTGCCTGTTGGGCGCCATCGCCACGTTCCTGGTTCAGAAGAACCGTCAGCTGCTGATCGGGCGGTCCATGGCACCCGGGGACGTGGCGGCGGTGCAGGTGAGGGAGGGGAGATGGGTGGGGGATGGGGGTGCACGAGTCAACTGGACAAGGTGAGTGAGAGCGGCGCAAGAGAGAAAGGGGGGAAGGCATAGGCTCAGGTAATGTGAGGAGAGAGGAACAACGTAGATCGCAAAGATGGCCAGATGTAAAGGGTCGCCTGGGCACGGAGGGGTCGGGCCTGGGAGGGGGAGGGGGAGGAAAGAGGGTGAAACGGGGCGGGAGCTACGCCATACGGCACGGCACGGCCCCGGGGTTGTTAGGGTTATCTGCCTGCATGTTTTCCTGCTCTCTTCAGCTTTTCGCT